TCTGAATTTTTTGTTTTATTTCTTTCTTTTATTGTCATTGTGTATCATTATAATCAACATCTTTACTATCATCGTCGTCGTTGTTATCGCTGTCATCATCATCATCATCACCATTATCATCATCATCATCATCATCATCATCATTCTCATCATCATCATTATATTCAACATCTTTATTATCATCGTCGCCATTGCCATCACCATCACCATCAATCATAATGTTTCGGAAAAGTGACAACACAAAGATTTCTCATGCTCCTTTAATAATTGTCAAATTATTTTTTTTTAAAGAAATTAAATGTTCGGATTAGCTACAGTCCAATGTATAAATTGCAACTATAGTGGTGTAATCATGATAACTACAAAGAAAAAATTAATCAAAAAAATATTATAATCCTGAAGAAATGACATCAGGAGTAAGCCTACTTCTGGTTGTTAAAGGATACGACCTACCTGAGTGGTGTACAATCATAATTACACCCCCTTCTGCCAAGCGATCATATAATTGTTTGATGATGTCGATAGGGTGGCTGGAGTAGTATAGGCTATGAATACAGTGAATGAAATGAAACTTCTGCTTGTTGTTAACATCACTCTTTAAAATATATATATAAAAAAAATCACAATACAATCATTTTAGTAGAATATTCTAATATGAAATTACTAGAAACTTGGTTATACTTTTATGATATATTATGAAATCATTATATTAGTATTATATATAATATGGTATTTATAATACATATTGCAATATATCAACACGTCACAATTTTTACTAGTTTTCAGTCTGTTTATTTTGTCGACATTGTCAAATTGGATGCCACCGATCTTAAGGTGTTATTTCCTAATAAATTGATTGATTGATTGACGCCTTATGTTCAGATCTCACTGTCGTCGCGCACTCAAACCCTATTATTTATTTATTTTTTATTTACTAATATCTTTAGCCAGGATGACACAATCATTTTAAAGAAATGTTTTTCATTGTGGTCCTGGAAAAAAAAATATTAATATTAATAATGACAAAATAATAATGATAAACAAAACACAAAAGAACACACCCAGAGTCAGGCATTAATATTTACCAAGTATTCTTCCAAATGTTCATTTTTCCAGTCGAATTCGACACCCTTCCGTTCCAATTCTAATTCTACTCGATCTTGAAACTTTCCAATGGAATTAGTGTTTGGTTCAATAACGGTTTGATGAATTTTGTTGTATTTTTGAAGCAACGAATCAATGATCAAACAATCCTTTTCACCTGGAAGATATTAAAATAATGTTATCCAAATTAAACA